CAGTAGCTATACGATTAACAAATCCAGTGCTGTGCTGTCAGAAGACGTTCACTCTCTCTTTAGTGGCCTACAGTTGTTCACTTCGTGTACGTGATAGTGATTTTCACTCCGCGTACTCAACCCATGACCAATACACACGGCCTACCCTATTTGCCCCCTCCCCCTGTTCAAGTACCTCTATATGCCGACTTCGTCATGTGAGCGGTGTGAAAATGATCAGGTTTGATCATAATACCTTTATAAGCCTCGTCTAACTCTCTTATTTTCATTATAAATGCAATTGTAGAGGCCCGATGATAAATTGCCGAAAACATATGTTTGCTAATTAGAAGTTTCAGGTTCAACATGGGAATATTTGCAGAACCTAAAATCAAACAATCGACAGGAATGAGGGGTTCACGGAAACTCACAATAGACAAACAACCCTCGCTGTATTGTCCTTTGACTTGTGATAATCATATACCAAGCCTTAATCTAGATGGAAACCGTTGTGAGTCATTGAATGGATTTGAGCAGGTATCTACGGAGTGGGTAGCCTGCAATGACACCTTGCGACGTTTGACTTCTAATCAACGGCTCGCGGACTCGAACTCCGGACGGTGCGCCACCTGCGGTCGGCAAATGAAATCCCTACGGCGACGCCTACTGGCCTCGGTGTACGCGACAATAAGGCGGTGTGACTAATCAGAACAACTTCTTTGATGAACGCTCATCGACCATTAACGAAGCTCACTCTGCTCTGAGGCCGACTTTCGAGCCCAGCTGTCAGCCACACAGTAGCTAGTAGTGTAGACAGATGAACAGGGCCGATAAAGACAAGGAAGACTGGAATAGCTAATTCTGGCTTATTAGCCGTCGTCAGACAGTCATACCCAGACCCAAGTGGTGTCCGACCCGAGCCTCAAACTCGCAACCTTTTTGATCAGAGTCAAACACAGAGCGAGGTAGATGAGTTCTATTAGCGGTCAGGTGAACGTTCATCAATGAACGAACTTTCTTGCTGCCAACTACTGTGTCCCAGGTACGACGGATCCCGTAACCGACCGGCGAACGTCCATCCACCGATTTTAATATTTGAGTTGACCCAATTGTGAAAAAACTTGAGGCGTTCGGCGGGATTTGAACCCGCGTATTAGAGGTCTTTACCGGAAACCAACGCTTCTGGTGGATGCTACATGATTGCTTACGAAATCCTGCTTGGACAATCAGCTTGCTGTTCCGTATTGG